GGTTCAATACTGGGGCCAGTATTGTTTAACTTATTCATCAGTGACTTGGATGACAGGGTAGATGCATCCTCAGCAAGTTCGCTGATGACAAAGCTGGGAGGAGTGGCCAATACTCCAGAGAGATGTGCAGCAATTCAGAAGTACCTCGACAGATTGGAGACATGGGCAGAGAAGAACTGTCTGAAACTCAAGAAAGGCCAGTGCAGGGTCCTGCACCTGGTGAGGAATAACCCCAGAGACCAGTACAGGCTGGGGGTGACCTGCTCAAAAGCAGCTCTGCAGAGAAAGACCTTGGGGATCCTGGTGGACAACAAGCTGCCCATGAGCCATCAGTGCCCTTGTGGCCAAGAAGGCAAATGGCATCCTGGGGTGCATTGGGAAGAGCATTGCCAGCAGGTGGAGGGAGGTGATCCTGCCCCTCTGCTCAGCCCTGGTGAGGCCTCACCTGGAGTGCTGTGTCCAGTTCTGGGCTCCTCAGTGCAAGAGAGACATAGACCTCCTGGACCAGGTCCAGCAAAGGGCTAAAAAGTTGATTAAGGGACTGGAGCATCTCTCTTATGAGAATAGGCTGAGGGAGTCAGGCTTGTTAAGCCTCAAGAAGAGATGACTGAGAGGGCACCTCATCAATGTCTATAAGTATCTGAAGGGAGGGTGCCAAGAAGATGAAGCCAGGGTTTTAGTGGTGCCAAGCAATAGGACAAAAGGCAATGGGCAGAAACTGATGCAAAGGAAGTTCCACCTGAATATGAGGAAGAACTTTACTGCGTGGGTGACCAAGCACAAGAATATTACCTGGAGAGCTTGTAGAGTCTCCCTCACTGGAGATATTCAATAACTGTCTGGACACAATCCTGTGCCATGTGCTCTGGACTAACCCTGCTTGAGCAGGGAGGTTGGACCAGATGACCCACTGTGGTGCCTTCCAACCTTACCGATTCTGTGATCCTGAGTCAACATCCCTGAAGGCCTTTGGCAAGACATAGAGACAAGGCACTTAGGGACATGGTTTAGTGCTAGACCACAGTATTAGGTTAATACTTGGACTGAATGACCTTAAAGGTCTTTTTCAACCTCACTGATCCTATGATTTTATGATTCTGTCCCAGCTCTTTCACCATCTGTTCCTGTAGGAGATGCTCCAGTCCTTTCATCACTGCTGTGACTCTTCGCTGAACTTGTTACAGTATTTCCATGTCTTTCTTGTACTGAGGAGATCATAACTGCACACAGTACTACAGGTGTGGCCTCTCCAGTGCTGAGTAGAGAGAAAGGTTTACCTCCCTCAATCTCCTGTCAACACTGTTCCTAATGCAGCTCAGGATACTATTGACCTCCTTTGATGCAAGGGCACATTACTGGCTCACATTCAGCTTATTTTCCGCCAGGACGCCCATGTCCTTCTCTGCAAAGCTACTTTCCAGCCAGTCAGCCCCTGCCTTGTACTGGTGCATCATGTTATTCCTACCCAGGGGCAGGACTTGGCATTTCCCTTTGATAGACTGCATGAGGTTCCTGTCTGCCCATTTCTCCAGTCTATTGAGATCCATCTGAAGGCACAACAGCCATCTGGTCTATCAAACGCTCCTCCCAATTTTGTACCATCTGAAAACGTGCTGAGGGTGCTCTCTGTCACATTGTTTAGGTCATTAATGAAGTTGTTAAACAGCATTGGCCCAAGGATCAGCCCAGGGAAACACCACTAGACGCTGACCTCCAGCTAGACTTTAGGCTTCTGATCACAACTGTCTGACCCCAGCAGTTCAGCCACTTTTCAGTCCACCTCACTGTCCACTTATCTAACCTGCACTTTGTCAGCTTGTCTATGATGATGTTATATGAGACAGCGTTGAAAGCCTTCTGCTGCTCTCCCCTCATCCACCAAGCTAGTTGACTCGTAGAAGGCTTGCATGTTGGCCAAGCATAATTTGCCTTTTGTAAATCCATGGCGACCACTCTAAATCACCCTGTGTCCATTGTGTGCCAGGAAATGGCTTCCAAGATTATTTTTTCTATCATCTTCACAGGAACACAGGTGAGGCTGACCAGCCTGTATTTCCTCAGATCCTCCCTCTTGCCCTTTTTGAAGATTGAAGCATCATTTGCTTTCTTCCGGTCCTCAGGTATAATGGCAGGGTTCTCGGGGTCTGTCTGACCCCAGCAGCCATCAGTGTCCCAGACAGAGGAGTCCCGCTAAGCACAACCTGTCCAGGTCCCTCAGGCAGGCTCCCAGCCACAGGCGAACTTAGCCAGCAGCTCAGCTCTTAAATGAGATCAGCTCTTTGGTGAATTCAGCTCTTTAGCGATTTCAGCTCTTTGCTTGCTAAGTGCCTCGGCAGACGCAGGGATGAGAGAGGAGAAGGCTGTATGAGGTTCCACAGATGTGTCTTTATTAGCAGCCTCTGTGAAGGGTGACAGTGACAGCTCTTCTGCCAAACTGGGCAGAGGTAGGGGTTTATATAGGGTATGTGGGTTTTGGGAAACAGTCCAATAGAAAGGGTCGAGGTAAATATGACCTATGGTCTTACAGAGAGATAACAAGGGTCCGAGGCAGAAGAGGGGTTTCTTGGTCCAGTCATCATGACTAGGCATTTCTTATCTTAGGCAACTGACCGCCAGGGAGGCCTTGCAGGCCCTGTGGCTGCTACACTCAGGAACCTCCCCTATCCTTGGAGGTGTACACAACCTCTGTTCCTGGAGCTGTACATGACTTTATGGGACAGGTCCCTGAGCAACCTGATCTAATTAGACTTGCTTTGAACAGAGGGTTGGAGTAGATAACCTCTGGAAGTCCCTTACAGCATAAATTTTTCTATGGTAAATTATCAGCCATACTAAAATACAGCTTACTGGTGGATGAAATAGGTCTACAAGCTATGTCACATCAGCCAGCTCCTCCTTCCATAGCCTTTTAAGGTGCTATCTACAAATGAAATCATAAGGAGTTACACCAGGAAAATCATATAGGCATCATATCCTGTATGGAGACAACTTTTCTGGGCTGTTTATCCAGTCAGTATTTTTATTTTTGTTTTGTTTTTTAAATTTCTTTTTCCCAGACAACCATGCATTTTGACATTTTGTTAGATTTCTCTGTCTGCCACCAAACTTCCTTCTTTCCACCCACTGGTTTTTGGCTTCCATCAGCTCTTTATCCAAGACCAGAACCCTTTCCTGCTCACTCAATCACAGTTTCACTATTCAGAATCAGACAACTCATGTTTTCCTTTCTTCCTCACTGACTGGGCCTAGTTGCTGTTTTCATGAGCAAATGATCTCTTGGGAGGTCTTAAGGGTTGCATTAGAATCAAGCTAGCACATAACCAAAAAAAGAGAATAAAAGAATATCCATGTTACTTGTCATAGAACATTTTCCATTCACACCATAGGTTTAGTACTTGCTCCTTTCTGTTTTAATAGGATAATTTCCTTCAACCACATATCCTAGGCCCTGTATATGGAATGGAATAGACTCTTTGTTAATAGATTAGGTACTAGAAACCAGAGTTCATATAAATAATAGCAAAAGCAGCAGGTGCAAGGAAATACCCCATTTAGTGTCATCTGGAGGATAACCATTGGTCTTTGGAGTAATTAACATATAAACAGGATAAAACAAACAATCCTCTGCTTAATATAGTTGAGCTATAAAGTCAGGTAAAATGTCATGAACTGCAATAAACTATACATTCCCAATATCACTGCCCATAATTTAAAGAGGAGAAGCACTAGAGCTTTTAAAAGAACAACAAATGTGGATGAAGAAATATGTTTTCTTTTGTCTCAACAGTTCAGTGTCTTTGATTGACATTTTTCAAATAGAAGTTAGCCTGATCAGACATTCTACACAGATATTTTCAGTCTTTGATTACAGTTTAACAATGTAATGAGCGACTTTCCATTTTTACAGTATCTTAAACAGGGACACATTGGTAATTCTTAATAATAAGCATGTCTTAACAGACCCATTTATGACAGAAGATTGCTTAGATATTATAAGAGCAAAGAAAATAAGGGAACAAGAGAGTGTTGAAAAAGTTTATCTGAAGAATAAATTTGGCAAAATATGTCCATTAAGAGGATGCTGCAAGTGTTAACATCAGTATCAGAACCCAATAGTGTTGTTGACTTTTTTGTGTCAATGCCAGATTATCATCAATAGACATTTGCTGGCACCAAAAAAGTCTTCTACAGGCCTTTTGCTTCTTCCTTAACCTTATATCAGAAGTTTCAGTGGATATATTTAGACTTAACTGGAAAAAGAGGGAGGGAAGGTTCTTCCTGAGCAACTTTGAAGTTAGTCCTACTCTGACTGTGTGTGTGGGTTTTACCATAAAACCTCTAGAGGTCTCTTTTGACCTAAATTATTCTATGATTTTAAGTATGAACATGGGAGAAAGGAATTTGATGGTAGAAAACCATGTTCATCAAAGCAAGAAAAGCACAAGAAATAGAAGAGTCTGAGAGAGAAGCAAAAGGACATATTCTCCTTCCTCTACCTTCCTTCCTTTGGAAAAAATAATAAATATGTATATCATTGCACTTAAAACAATAAAGAAATTATATATTGCTTTCTGTAAGCAATGACTACAACTGCCTCAGCAATTTAGGAACTTCCCAGTATAATTTCAACTAGAAGAATAGAGGCCCACATGGAGACTACTTTATTACACAGATGATCATATTACGACAAATTTAGATCATACTCCCTATCAGCATAACTTAAAACTTGTCCATAAACTCAAGTTTTTTCCCCAAACAACAAAATGCTGCATATACAGCTTCACACTGTCCAACTGTAACAATTACCAGAATTCATTTTAGATTAATTCAAGTGATATTAATCTTACTTGTTTTCACTCAAATAATGATTTAATATGACAAAAAATAAAGTTTTTGTTCAAACATTTTTCTTTGCTAATTAAAACATAGCAGCCCATATGATGTCATGAAAAGTGCATTATTGTAGTAAACATTCTAATTTAGATGAATAACCAACTTACATTGTTCCATTTGTGTAGACTGTGTCACTTCCCTCCACATACTGAACCTGGGCTGGGTAGACATGTTGTACCTGTTGCACAGTCTGTACTTGCTGTACCTACAAACAAGAACACCAAAAATATAGGATAGTTTACCTTATAAAAAGAATGACTAGTGCTTCAGTTCATCTAATGGTTTCTAAAAAATACTCTTAATTTTGGGACATCCCTGTTCTCACAATTACTAAATGACACAGAATGCAATATTGTGCTGCAAGTCTGTAATATGCTAAGTGGAGTACTGTGTTGATTTTTCTGTGAGAAGCTGCTAGAAGCTCCCACCATGTCCAACAGAGACAATCTCTGATGACTCTGAAGACAGACATGCTGCTTGCCCAATGAGAGAGGTTGGTAACGCTTCTGTGATGACATATTTAAGAAGAAAACCAAAACAGCGCACATGCAGTTTTTTTCCCCAGGGGTGGGGAGGTGCCATGGCTGCCGCTGCGGCTGCCGCCATCTCAGCACAGACCACGGCAATCTTTGCCTGCCTGGCTGCCCTTAGCCAACTGCACTGCAGGCAGAAGGGCAGAGGCGATGGTGGCGGCTTCTCCTTCCCAGCGCCCTGCATGAAGAGAGGCGTTAAATAGCGCAAGCACTGTGGCAGCCGCCACTGCGCGCATGGTGGTGGTGGGGCTGCGTGGCCAACTGAAAATGTGGCAGGCAACTCCCTGATGCAGAACCTGGATAAAATCAACATCTTGGCACTGCAGGATCCTGCAAGACTCTTTGAATTAGTGGAACTTGTTTTCAATGGTACCTACAAGCAGCAGTTTTTCTTCTAGTCAGAGGAGGAAGTGAGGACATGTGAGGGAAAAGAACATGATGGCACCAAGGTCAGTGGAAAAGAAAGAGTAGGAGGAGGTGCTCCAAATGTTGGAGCCAAGATTCCTCTGCAAGCCATAGTGAGGACTATGGTGAAACAAACTGTCCCCCTGTAATGCATGAAGTCTATGGGGGATGCAGACATTCACTTACAGACCATGAGAAAAGTGTTCACGCTGGAGTGGGTGGATGCCAGAGAAAGCTCTAATCTAGTGGGAGACCCGAATAGAGAGAGAGGGCCCTTGCTCACAAAATAGAGCAGCCTGACCTTAAAAGACTGAAGCCTGTGGACGAGTGACCCACGCCACAACAGTTTTGGAAAAACTACCCATGGGTGGGACTCCACGGCATAGCATAGAAAAGACTCCTCTCCCTGAGTGAACAGAAAAAGATCTGGAATGACGAACTGACCAAGACCTCCATGCCCTGTCTCTCATGCATGTGATGCATCATCATATGTCTCCGAGGTGAACTGCTCCGGCAGACATGCTCTGGAGTGGAGGATAGTGCTAAGAGAGCTTTCCAAAAACCAGCAAAACTGTGAACCTAGCTCAGAGAGACAGAGGGAGCACCAGCCTTAGCCAGAGCAGGAAGTGTGAAAAGCTAGATAAGCAGCAGCTCTAACTCAGTGTGGGCAGCGCCAGGAGTGAAGGTAACCAACTCCTACAGGTACAAAAGGCGTACTCAAGAAGCAACCAGGAGTGGGGCAAATAGGGCAGGCAAACAGGGTGTGACTGTCATGGTTTAGGAATGGTATTCCCCAATTTAGGGCTCCTGTTGTTTTATGGCAAAACCAGCTTTCAGGAGGATTTGGATTATCTTCTCCCCTTTTTCAAAAACCTCCTCTGCTGTGTTGCCCTATAGGATGATGTCATCAATGTACTGTAAGAGTTCTGGAGCCTCACCCTTTTGCAGTGCAGTCTGGATCAGTCCATGGCAAATAGCAGGGCTATATTTCCACCCCTAGGGCAGTTGGCTCCAGGTGTACTGGACGCCCCTCCAGGTGAAAGCAAACTGTGGCCTGCACTCTGCTGCTAAAGGAATGGAGAAAAATGCATTAGCAATATCAATGGTAGCACCATTTTGCTGCCTTGGACTCCAGTTCATACTGAAGCTCCAGCATGTCCAGCACGGCAGCACTCAGTGGTGGTGTGACTTCGTTCAGGTCATGATAGTCCACTCTCAGTCTCCACTCTCCATTGGACTTAGGCACTGGCCATATGGGGATATTGAAGGGTGAGCAAGTCTTGCTGACCACTCCCTGTCTCTCCATAAATCATCTGTGGATGGGAGTCCTGGAGTCCTGGTTGGTGCAGTGTTGTTGACAGTGCACTGTTGTGGTAGCAATTGGTACCCGTTGTTCTTTGACCCGTATGAGTCCCATAGTAGAAGGGTTCTCTGAGAGACCAGGCAAGGTACTCAGCTGTCTAATTCCCTCTGTCTCCACAGCAGCTATCCCAAAAGCCCAACAATGCCTATTTGGGTCCTTGAAATACCCTCTCCTGAGGTAATCTATGCCAAGGATGCACAGGGCCTCTGGGCCAGTCTCAATAGGGTGTTTCCACCATTCTTTTCTAGTCAGGTGTCCTGGGGTGACTTTATGATGCTTGCATCCCCAATTGTCTGTTCTGTTTATGCTGGATATTAAGTTCTGCACCTTTAAGACTGGTTCCGAGAGCGAAAGGGGGGGAGAGAAGAAGCGTGCAGTTTGTTATCAGAAACTGCACTTGTTCCCCCACATCCTTCTCCTGGACTGTGTTGTCTGCAGCATGGACAGATGGTGGGAGAGACCTTTCCTTTACTTTTAGCTAGTTTTTAGCTAGCTGAGGCAGAGAAGTTCCCTGGACTGTGGTTTTTCTTTTTCTTGGAACTGTTTAAACCTGCTCTGGACTGAAAACCCAGAAGAGCACCGGGAGCTCACACCTGTGGCCCACTGGGCCAGGCCTGGGCCATGGCATTTCCAGTGCCGGAGGGACTGATGACAGACTGGGTGAGCCGAGCTGCAATCCATGAAAAGGAATTTTGGAGTTTGTCATCTCTTCAGATTGGCAAGAGGCTTCATTGTTTGATATTGTTCATATTTTGTGCTGGTGAATGCTTTGCCTGTTAAATAAACAGGTTTTTTCCCACTTTCCTCCAAGGAAATCTTTCTCACGAACCAGTTGGGGGAGGGGCTGCTTAAATCTGCTTTCTAGAGGAACCCCTTTGGAGGTTTTCTCCCAAATTTGCCCTAAACCAGGACATCAGGCTAACTTCAGCTTACAGTACAGTCAGCTGTTGGGATCCCCCTGTCACCCCAGAAAAAGATGGATTCTGCCCCTACATATCTCGATGGCATCAAGGTACATTGCATCAGTGTTAACTAAAGCCTTATACTCTTGTGAGTCTGATGTGGCAGGCCATGGGATCCCCACAGTCCAATAGATCTTACTGTCCTTTTCCTCCTTTTCCTCCACCTGTCTGGGACCATCACCCCTCTAGTCCTGGTCATAGTACTCATTGCTCACTTCTTGTAAATATGACCTGGAGGTCCCTTCAAGATTATGGGAAGTAACATCAGCTCTTCTGTTCTGTCTGAGGACTTGCCACTGGAAACTGGAGCAGCATTTATCCTTGAAGAATTTCCTGCGGTGGTTGTTCTTCCTCTCAAATCACATACCCATGCTGCTAGGGCAGGTGGGTTTTCCATCCCACTTCCTCATGTCCTCTCTGTGGTCATTCAGGTAAAACCACAGGTTACCTCATGGTTTGTACCCTCTCTCTCGAGCAGGGGGATGCTTGCTCTCAATAGCAGAGACTCTGGTCCATACTGGCAGGGCATAGGACATTTTGTCTCTAACCTGCTTGAGTCTTTCAAATCTGTCCACAGTCTTGGACTGTTTTTCCACAGCCGAGGCACAGGTTGGTAGGGAGGAAAAAAGATGATCTTCATATTGCCAGAGTTGAGTAGTCACCTGAAGCACTGTTTGTTCTCTTTCTGTCATTGACATCAAGGCCAGTGAGTTGGTGTATGACAGTGGCATGCTCTGTACAAACTTCTGCCACATGGATTGTGTACACTGGACCTCATCTGGATCTATAGGGGACTGCTCGTTATTTGAATCTCTACAGAGTACCTCCAGCACAGCTAATTTTCTCAAGTACTACATACCCTTCTCCATGGCATTCCACCTGCTTGGGCTCACTACTAAATCATCCTTGAGAAAATATCGTTCCCTCATGCTTGACAGGAGTTACTTCCAGAGGCTGAGAGTTTCTGTCTTCTTCCCAATCCCCTTGTCAATGCCCACATCCCAGGACAGGGATCCCAGTTGCTTGGCTTCACTACCATCTAGTTTCATATTGTGGGCTTCGATATCCCAGCCCTGGAGCAGCCAGGTCACCAGGGGCTCACCCAATTGGCGGCTCAAATATTTTTGCACCTATCTTGCAGCTCACATGAGATAGGGATCGGGTGTTTATCTCTGGGTCTACCTCTTCCTTTTGAGATGACCCTGCTTCTTCTTCAGCCCTCACTAGGCAAAGTGATTTGGTCTAAGATTTTTTCTTCTGTATAGGGGCGACTTCTACCAGCACAGATTGCTGCCCCAGCTCAACTGCAGTTTGAGTGGCCATGGTGCCTGCTCGTCTGCTTTCCTCCTGCTTCCTCTGAGGGTGCTGTCTAGTGACAAGCAGTGTTTGATAAATAGTAGCCAGGGCCCAACACACTGCAATAAGTTGTTTTTCTCTGGAGTTGTCACAGCTTTCTCCTTGCAAATATTCTGTCATTTTATCAGGGTCCTGTAGTTGTTCAGGGGTAAACTCCCAAAACACTGGAGGAAATAATTTCTCCAAAAATGGGCCTATTTTCTCCCACATTCCATGCCACTCATGACTATTCCCTTTTGGGGGAGATCTCTAAATGACCTTCCTAAAAATTTCTTTCTTGACTCTAAACATGGTGTGGACCATACTGAGGAGACCTGGTAGACTTAGCAATAAGAACATGCTTTCCTTAACGTTCAAGGAAAATTCTAAATTCTTAAAAGCTCTTATAACAGGCCTAAAATATGAAAAGGGAGTGAAAAGGTGCGGAAAATCATCCTCCCTCATTTGCTCCAAAGGCTAGGTATGATCATTAATGCACTCCCAAAGGTAGCGTCTGAGTAAGGAAACACTGAATACACATCCCAAATGACCTTCATTGTACTTGATGTTATCATGCAAATATAACAGCTGATATCCCACAGTACAG